AGCTTCTTTTTTCCCTCTAAGTTTCCTCATCTTTTATATGAACCAAATCCGCACAGCTCAATCTCTTACAAGTTCTACCAGACGTTCAGGATGTTTGTTGACACTGGAAGATACACAGCACTGGCACAAATACTGAAGTTAAACCCTAAATTTAACATTGCTTCTGGTTCCAGAGGGAGCCTGTTCTCTCCTGTGGCAGACACGACTGTGAGTCCCTCAGAAACCTCACCAAAGGGGAGCCTGGCTCAGGCACATTATGGAGCTTGAACGAAGAAGTAATCTGCAGGCAGTGCTGTAGCAGGAAGGGAGAGCACCCACTGGGGCTCTGTAGTAAACCTTTCCCACAAGCTTTTAACCACCGAGAAACACACAGGGAAGTGACTGAAAGGGTATTGAACAAACCACTACCAAGTGCTTTAAGGGAGGATGAAGAGCACTAGCTTTTAGTCTGCTGTTGTATTCTCTGAATGTTTTTGTTAGTTTGTTCAAAGCAAGTAGTCTTCTTGGCTCCCCCATTGTCAAGGGTTGCTGAGGAGCAACACTAGCAAATGTCATCTTTAGCATTACTCACTCTAAATGCTGAAGTGATGGAAACGCTGCAAGAATTTCCACAAGTTTTAAGAACCCCCGAAGGCCACATACTGGACCCAGCCTGCAAGAAAAGACATACAGACACACACAGCATTTTCACATGCTCAGAAACAGCAGAAGTTATGAATTTTTCAATTCTTCCCCTGCAGCCCCAAATGTAAGCCAGTTTACACTCCTCAGAAGCAGCCACTCCCTACCATCTGCAGCAAGGATTTCTGCTTCAAAGCCTCCAGATGAGAACTCCACAAAGCTGAGGTCACACAGAACAGAGCTACTTGCACAGAAGCAGCAGAACATGCATTTGCCACTTTTTTGTTACTCTTTGCAAGACTCATCTTACCTGTTTCAGATTCCTGTATTTCTGACCTTTTTCTGTTTTTTCAGGTTTTTGGTTTGTTTGTTGTTTATTTTTGGTTCTTTGGGGTTTTTTTCCATTATAATCTTAATAACCTAGATGAAAAAAATCTCTCTCTATCCCCCCCAAATATTGGCAATTCAGACTAACTTAAGATGAACATTTTACTGCAGCTTAAAGCATAAATTGAACTTGAATATTCCAGCTCCAAGCATTTGTCCCTCACACATTAACTTCTTATTTGGAGTTTCCTTGGTATCAGAACAAGTTCAACCTAGTTAAAGGACAGGAATTTTAAGTGGGAAAAAAAGAAAATTAAAATAAAGGGAAAGTAGGAGAGGAAACAAGAAGAGAAAGCAGCATGAAATCAGAAGTGAGGTCAAGCATAGCCTCTAGACTGGGTCAGATGTGAAGAGCAGGAAACAGATGGAGACCTGATGAGAGTATGCCATTGCACTGGTGCAATTTCTGCCCAAACTAATTCACACACTATGGCAGGGTATTTTAAGCAGTAGAACCTTGGAAGCTGATAATAGTTTGTAGGGAAGAAAAAATGTTACTACACCTCATGCTTAAAGTCAGTGTTTCCAAGTCAATCTTCCTTCTTCCAGGAAAATGGTGATAAATGTTTTATTTGGGAGGTATTCTCTGACCTTATTCTTTCACGGCCTAAGCTCTGATAGTGCAGAAAATTACATCAGAAGGTTCAGATAAAAAAGTTGGGCATTTCTGGGGGAAAAAAAAATATTTCCCAGGTAGTTGGATCACAATCAAGATACTTTATACCCTGTGGCACAAAATCTACACCTGGTGATAAGGAGCTAACTTGTAGTGCAAATCAAACAAAATGGATCAAACCATGTTCATCTGGATCATGGCAGGAGCCAGAAATTACGTTTTGTGAGTTTGTGCCATAACTTAATATATCTGGTTGAGAAAAGCAAAATAGCAATAAATGGGGTTTACTTAACGCTTTACCATAAACTAACTGTACCTCAGCTCAATGACTGTAGCCAATATCCATGATTCTTCTCAGTCTTAAATGCAATCATCTATCAATCAACAGAGAGGCGTATTACTTACGCAAATTCTAGTTTCCTGAGGTTTTTGATGGCAGGAATTTCATAGCTGCTGCAACCAGATGCATCTTGCACGCTAAAAACACCACAGTAGAACCAGAGTATGATAAGTGTTTTAGCAACCAAAACAGCGCTTTACATATAAATTCTTAGTAAACTTTTACAGGAAATAAACCACTGTTGCATTAACTGAGGACTCAGAAATTTCAGAATAACTCCTGCTCCAAGCTTTCTTCATACAATTCATCTCAATTTTCAGATTGAAATGAATTTCAAATGACCACACTTTTCGTAGTGCAGTTGTTTGCTCTTTTTCCAATAGAACTTAAAACCACATTCTTCTAAATCAAGTGTCTTCTGTCAAACATGAAACTCGCATATATTTTAATCAAAATATTCTGCCCATGTTAAAATGGAAGCCCCCATTTCTATTTAAAAATCAACCAAAATATTTTCTTTATGCATGCTATTAATTGCAACCAGTCCCTATGTCACATCATGAGCAGGGATGAAACACAGGCTTTCACATAACACAAGCTTTTACCTCCTGAGCTAAAGGGCCAACTCAGATCATTTGTGACCGGTGCAAAACAAGCCTTCATTTATGGCCCAGGTGCTACAGGGGAGAAAAATCAGTTAGCACAAGTTGTGTGAGTGAAAGCAATTGGAAGATAGCAGCATACTCAGAGATTAAAAAGGAATCTGAAATAAAAAATGGCAGCTGTTTTTTTTTTATTGGCAGTTTTGATAAATGTTCTGCATGGTGCTGTCATTGCTCCTCCCTGCCCTGACAACTACCACACATCAGGGTAGGAGAACACCTTGAGATGATACAAGAGCTTGCTCTGCACTAGTCACTTCTCCTTTGGACAAGCGGAGGACTCCACTTTTCCAGCATCGTTAGTGAACCCCCATTTCTTAAATCGCTAGTATATTAAGATCATAAATGAGCCTACCAATTGATCATCTTCTTCTGCATACCCACAAGGTCTGAAAGGTCACTGACGTCCTTCACTGATTTTGCCTTAAAGGGATCAAGAACAAATTTCTCTGTTGATGCTCTCAGCAGTTCATAGTCTTTTGCCTGTTCTAAAGACTTCCAGAGCCTGACCGTGTCACTGAGGGAGGCCCTGTGAAGTGAAATCAACAGGTATGATTGCTGCTATTGCATGAACAAGTCATACAGGCCTATGAATGACACTACTATATACAAAGAATGACTGACCTGAACAATGCCACATTCTTCAGGCCAACCAGGTCTTTCAGTCCCTGCATGTCAATGCTGCTGTTTCGCAAATCCAAGGAAAACTCTTTCCTTGACCTTTTTAAAATAGAGTGCAGTACATGGACATCAGGTGGTGTTAGAACTACGCCCAGAAAAGACAGGTCTGGCTTGAGCCTTAAGGCCACATGCTGCAAAAGATAACTGCTTTGTGTTTCATAAATACATTGTAAGAGCTTGAGTAACCTCTCTGGACAGAGCTCATTTATCTGCAGCCTTCTAATACATTTCAACAGTGTTTTCTGCTTCTTGATTGACTGGTTTACCACCTTATTTGAAAGGGAGCAGAAGTAGGGGTCATCCTGGAGGAACAACAATCCAGACAAAAATCGAGGCACTAAATCTAGCCAGTTATAAGGCTTTTTCTTCTTGGATGAAAAAGACAGGTATTTTGTTAGACTTTTATCCTTGATCTCTTCTGCTAACATAAGATGAAGCGCACCCAAGAAATTCTGAATGACAAAATCAGTGAATGTGCTTCCAAATGCCTCTTCTCCACTATCTGAATGTTTGGGGAATGCAAATGGCAGGAAAAATCCGTATTTCAGAGCAAACTCTTTAACTTCCTTAGAAGGAAGAAGATCACTTTTCATGGCACTTTGGTGCTTTTCTCCAAGATACCAGGCTATACGGGCAAGTGTAGCAAGACTTTCTTGATTCTGCATGGCTGCAACATCCGTTTGCATAGGTATTATCTTCTGCTGAAGAAATTTCAGGAAGACTGTAGTAAGAGTTGAAGGAAGACACTTGTCTCCCATTTCAAGTACTGTCTCACAGAGAAAACAAACAAATCTACACATAACAGGGCTGTAACAATGACTGAACAAGTAGTCACACTCTTTGATTAATTTCAGTGCATTATCACAGTAGGGTAATCCTTCAAAGTATTTGGTTATGTACAATTCTCTCTGCTGAGGGGAAAATCCTATTATTTCAATAGTCTTATCCACTTTGGACACACACTGGTACACCTTGTCTTTTGGTCTTGCTGTAAGTAATAAAGTACAACCATTGAGTATCTTTCTTTGAATGAGCCCTGAAAGCAGCTCCTTTACAGTGCACAAGTCTTTTTCAGGCTGGCTGGCTGAGCAGCGAAGAAAATTCTCATGATCATGCAACCCTTCAAAACCATCAAAAACCAGAAGGACTTTAGCAGGATTTTGTGATATATACTCAAAGATCTCTTTGCTTCCCTCTTGAGGTTTTACAAAAAATTCAAGCAGCAGATCCTTCAGGCTGTACTGCTTCTCAGGCAAGCTTATTTGTTTGCAGTCAAACCAAAACACAAATTCAAACTGAGAAAACTCTCCATTGGACCAGTCCTGGCAGATCTTCTGAACAAGAATGCTTTTGCCCATTAGATCACTTTAGTCTCTAAATCTTTACCTGCTGGGATTTGAAATATTTGGCTTCTTTTAAGGGCTGTTTTCTCCTTCCCTTGGAGACTGCATGTTACCAGCTCCTTTTCCATTGCTTTTATGCTAGTCTTCCCAGTCTTGGTTTCAGTTTGGCTTTGAACAAGTGTCCCATCAATAAACAGGTGATCAAGAGCTACTTCACGCTCCATGGCCACAGATCTGCAGACATCTTGGAAATAATGCTTAAGTGATGTACAGAACGCTTCCACTGGCTCTAAAGGAATAAAAAGTACACATGAATGCAAGAAAACTGTTCATAAATTACAACATTGGTGGTTTAAGTACATAATTGTAATATGGTCAAAATACACCAGTTCCCATAAAGCACGTACATTTGGATTTCTCCCATGCAACTGCAGGTACTTAAATTTGGAGTACAGGCACAATAGACACCTTTCGACCATGAAATGAAAAATTTTGGAAGTATCTACACATATGATAAAACCAGTTAAGTACACTGACCTTCTAAGTAGGTAGTAGAGCTAGATATCTAAAGATAGACAAATCTAACACCTTAAAACCAGGAAATGCACTCAAAAACTTGGAACAGCCTTACAAATTGCTGAACAACAATTCCTACAAGTAGCTTTTCTTTATGCAAAGAAACACATTAAAAATAGGCAAAAAAGTCCAGAAGTTTGAAGTACAAGAGATCTAAACTCACTCGGTCTTTTGAAAGGTTCTTCAGAAGGAATTATGGGAACTTGGACTTCTTTGAGCATTTCTAAACCTGAAAAAACAAAACAATGTACTTGAAGAAGACACCTAGATAGTCACTGATTCAGCTTTACTAATTTTAACATTAAGACTAATGCAAATTTTCAAGTTCATTGCAACACATGTACTGTGGATCACACAGAGAAAGAGAGGTTTTGTTTATTTTACAAGGGAAAGGAAAATCCTCACACATACAATTCAGCTGACATGAACTGCCACCGGCAGCATGACACCACACAAGATGACAGCTGTTCCAATGTTGTAAGAAGCAGAAGACTTATCTTAACAAGGTGACATCCAATGTTCTTTTCAAATTTTGCATAAATTCTTATTTACACATAGGACTTCTTTATGTCATCAAAAGCAATAGCTTTCTTTTATTATTCCACATCTTGTGACCAAACATTAAGGATGAATGTCACAGAGAAGTGACTATTGGTAACAGAATTTACCCATTGCTCTTCCTGACAAAGTACTGCCACTGTCCAATTTTCTTTCTTTTTGCCTGCTTGTTTTCAAACTATTGCAGCCTTTTGCACTTACTCAGGTGAGCCATGTCTGCCATACACATAAATGGGAATTTTTCAGGGAAAGGGAAAGTATATTTTCTACAGACTGGTGATGACAGTATCAGTTTTGATGAAACTTTTGGTAGGAAAAACTTAGCAGACACAGAACAGAATTTAAATTGACAGAGGCTGTAACAAACCCAACCTCATCAATAGTCTTGTAACCACACTCAGCAGAGATGTGGGGCAAAAACCCAAACCAAAACAGGTTCATCTACCTAGATTTGGACAAATGTATTTATTACCATAATATCTGGTTTATCTTGATATAGAATGTGTTTTAAAAAACAAAACAAAGTTTCAGAGATTGGGAAACTAATTCCTACCCCACATGCCAGCAACAGATGGAATGGTTAGAGTTCAGGGTTGCTTCTAGCAGGGAAGGACTCTCAGACTTCTAATAAGCAAGTGCTTTTTCCAGTGAAAGAATATATTTGATAGAGATAAGTCTCCTCCTTGTAGAAGAAAAATCTACTGAAGACCTTAAATAACAAGGGGACATGCCTGTTTTCAGGCAAGTGTCTCGTTTCGGTCTACCACTTATTAAACAAACACAACAGAATGGAAAACCAAGAAAAGCTGCAATTAGACATTTAGATGGGAAGCAACATTGGTCAAATCAATCAGATGTTAATAATTTTTTAAAAAGGAAAAGAAACTGGCTTTGTAGCTAATGTGGTAATTTTTCTGCTGCATTTAGAATTCTGAGGTTTGTGACGTACTCATATAACGTTGTGCTGCTGTAAATCAGTTGGAATTATTAATATTGTGAGTTCACATAAACAGTATATATAACTTACAAATACTTCCCCAAACCTACGGGTATTTGCCTGTTAATTCTCACTTCAAAATTATGCTATTTTGGGCTCTGTTGCCAGCAGAGGGCAACAGAACACGCGTACTAAACTGCCAGCCGCTATAATCACCAGGGTACACGGAGATCAGAAACTAAACACCCACTGAAATCAAACTCAATGTTTCAGTGGGAGAAGTCAGCGCCGACAAGAAAAAAAGTGATAGTTTTCAGCCTATCATAACTATCAGTATCTGAAACGAAGGAACTTAGTACTTTGTTGACAGTATTGACTTTCCAGTACTTTCTGCCTATTTATGTGGATAAGAGGGTATTGCTCTCACCTGGATATACTAGAACATCAGATGTGCCTTTTCCAAGAACAAAGCCAAGTATCTGCTGAGGAGGATCTGCAAAACCTGTATTCTCTTGGCTCCCTTTCATGCCAACAGATAGACACTCTGGAACCAGAGGTGCTGAAGATCCTGAAATGAGTGCAGAATAATTACTGTTCTGTTTTTAAAGGCTCCTCATTTCTAAAAGTTTTCAAGAAAGAAAATATCCTTTCTGGCAGCTTCTGGGCAAATATTCCCAGTGGAGAGTTAATGAACCAGAATTCATAGGCTCACATGAAGTCCACAGAATCCATTATTCAAAAAATCTGAACAGGTATGAAGAATGTGAAATACAAGGGATTACCCAGCTTTTAGTGACTACTGGTTTTTGATAGTCTAAAGAGAAATCCTACTAATATAAAGAATGGTGCCTAAAGCAAAGCCTGTAAATGTATGGACCAGGGACTCAGAAGAGAGAAAATGTATAGATATTGTGTATCTGAATTAATTTTACCATCCTTTGCACTACATCTTTCCCACATAACTGCACATCATGCTGCTTGTACAAGCAGCTAGCAAGGATCCTCCTTCTGAACCTGCACGGGGAATTTTTTTTTATGATACAGTGCTTGCAATTTAATCAGCCATAGCTCTGAGCTTCTCTAAGTGTGACACAATTTCTTTTGCTCTTTTGTGCTGTTTCAGCTAGCATTACATACTTCAAGACTTCTAACATATCCACTACTTTTTGGTTCCTTTGCAGCATAGATTTAACAGTGAAAGGTGCTGAATTGTGTCTTTGTCATTAGGACTTGCCAGTGTACCATGAGCACCCTCTGTTACTCAACGTTATCAAGGCAAGGCAGCTACAGCTACACAGCCCATCACCTGGATTAGTATTCAGGTTTTACAAACAAAATTCCAACCTAGATTTTTCTCTACTACTACAGATATAATTGTCCTCTGGATAACCCCTGGGTGAAAGGAACTAACCCAAAGTTTAGGTAGGAAAATTTTCCGATTTCCTATTCTTAAGTAAGTAGTTGTTTAGATTAGCATACAGCAAATAATGGTGTTCTCTTATTTATTAACCTGCACTTCACCAGTTAAATGAAAAACTCACAATTTCACGAGGGGCTTTTAATTTCCCTTGAATATTTTTCATTCTTTAAGTGAGTGCCACACTTTTAAGTGCTTGATTGAATCAGCTGATATATTTGTTTTCCCCACCATTGTTCATGGTCAATAACCAGATTTGTAAGTTTTCCCCCTGTATAGATCAACCTGTGTACAGATGCACACCTGGAGCTCTACTGTACATACCAGAAATGATGAAACTCCTTTCCAGTGCATCGGTAGCAAGAACAGAAAAGGACATGTGCTGGTTAGTTAGTGAGGTGGAGCTAGCTGGGTGGCTGTTGAGAGGCATAGCTAGGAAACCGGCATTCCCTGCAGACACCGCAGGGACTTCCACTTGAGAAAAGGAAAAAAAAAAGAAAGGCAAACCAAAAGAAGAAAGTTATTTCACTGCTAGAAGTTAAGGGGCCAAAGAAGAGGTCTCAATAGATATCATAAAGCACTTGATTCTGATCAGCTGTGCTTTGATTTTCCAAAAGCAAAAACAATTCACAATAGCTTTCTGAAATATACTTCCCATCTAAGTACTGCTGCATTGATACAGTCAGAGGAGATCAGGTACTGTTACAGCCAGCTGCAAAGAGTTGGGCAAATCTAAAGTTGAATTCCATTCAATTCCTTTGAAAGAATCTCATCCTTAGCTTACCACTCTGAACTTTAGTACACATTATCCTCTTCACTGTACATATTCTTACATTTCTGAAGAGCTGATGCATTTCCCTTTGCAGGATCATTCGTGACACTCATTTTATGACAAGTTAAATAAATTCCCGATTTTGTTATGTAGCTCATCTTATTGTCAATTAATTTTTTTGTACCCAGTACGTATGCTACCTTACATATATATTCCTTCCTTCAGCACCTTCACTGGGTCAGTAGGGTAGAGAGACTGATAATATTCTGAGCACCTTCAACTATCCGGAAAAGGATAGGTGCAGCTTTACGAAGCACCTGATAGCTCTGTAATGATACTGGAGACTGAAATGCAAGTCCTGAGACATTTTTACTGTTTTGGTTTTATTTTTAAACCAGGAATTGATATGCCATTTCCTTACTGAAAACTCTCATTGTTAGTGTGGCATAAGTGGAGGCTCAATGTCCCTCCTTCCTCTTGAAATCCACACAAACATTGGAAAATCAGCTTGGGTCACAGTCTGAGTGCATGTGTGTGTTCCTGATGAATTTCACCCAGTCTATGCCAGTTCCTTGGGTATTGCTGGGCAATTGCCAGGCTGAATTTTGCTGAGATGCAGTCCCATAATCCAAGCATTCTCTGCATGGCTCTCTAGGCTACACATGCTGGTTTTGGCTGCCCACCCTGATGTGCACATAGCCCATCAGGTTGCATACAGTCAGAGCCCCTCTCAGGAAGCGTGCTAACATACAGTAATGCATACATCACTTCAAAATAGAGTATAATATATTCACCCAAAGGTGGTTGCTCTCACATGGATTTTGCAAGAGTATTTTGCTGGCTTAGCTGTGCCCGAGACAGCCATTTAGGCTCCAGACTAAGGATAAGAATTCTAGCACCAGTTTACACCTGTGCTGGCCACAGGTACTGCCCTGTAGGTGGTCGAACAGCATGCAGCACCTTGACGTTTCCCTTTCTCTCATGCTGATTTTGGTTTAAAGGACTGTATAGCATGGGCTGGGCCAAGAAGCCATCTCTTCACAGTTACTATTTTCACTAGGATGTTTGACTAGATTTTTGGGAGGTGACATGCTTAGAACAAAGAGGATCGAACATAGGAAACAACAAACCATGGCCTGAGTCATGTTTCCCATCATAAACAAAAGGCATACGTGATAAAAATGACAACATTTGACCCTGATCCAATTCTCCACTATTTTGCTTTCTTCTCTCAGATTTTAGACAGATTCAGAAAAGTTCAACTGGGCCTCATCTGATGCTAAGGAAGTAATTTTTCTATCACACATCAGGAACATGTACATCTGAAGCATAAGGATCCAATGGTTCCCAGGCTAGCATGCAGTCGGTCCTAAGATGCACTATTTGATAGTTACTATTAAGAGGGCACAGATTTGTTGCATCATAAATTAGTCAGAGGTGCGTAAGACTGTGATTCTACAATCATTTCTACTCTGCTGGAATTAGAAACATGAAAAAGCATGATGAGGATGTATCATCAAATACCTAACAAAGGATGAGACTTTGGAACATGAGACAATATATGTTCAATAATCATACTCAGCCAACAACTTACCAATTTTCCTGTATTTGGGTTCTGAAGCATCAGAGCAACTCTCTGCAGTGCCTAAGAAGGCTGAAAGAGAAGTGACAATAAATGACAAAAATTGAAGCAGTTCAGTAATTTTAAGTTTCCACCATGGAAATTTATTTTAAACTTTTAAAGCAGAATTTTACCCTTTTAAATTTTTAACTTTTTAAAGCAGAACGGGATGTTATCAGTTTCAATTCAGCTATTTCAGAACTGTATGGGGCCAGTATATAAAACATGAATGTTAAAAGCTTCATATTTTTTCACTTTGACTGTGAAGTTTCAATTAGGCTGCAGATTTTTGTGCCAGTAATCAAAGATTTTTGCTGCTGCTTTTGATATTAAATTGTTCAGCTAATGCTTGCTAAGTGATAGAGTCACTGAAAGCAAAGTTAACAGTCACACAGATGAAGGGAAAAAATATGTCATACTTAATGTCATGTTACAGGACAACAAATTCTGTAAATTGTAAAGAATGTGCTTGGAGGAGCTGTTTTTACTTCCAACAGAAGTAAAGGTGAGCAAAGTCAGAGGAAGCACATCTGGTTGTATCAGCGAAGAACTACATGAGAGATGCACTGAGGCTGGGTTAAAACCAAAGAGTCATAATGCAAATTTGGATTCAAACTCTGCAGCCTTTCAAACTCTCACTGTTTTTCACTTACTTCGTTTGTGACATTTCTGCACCTTTATCTCAGGAAGCACCTCAGTGTTTTCAGCAGATATTTCATCCAAAATAAGGTTCCCTGCTAAAAATATGTAAAAATGTCAACCTTTGTTCTCCTAGAAAAATTATAGGAAGAGGTAAAAGCAAGAGAAACATACCAACAGGTGGCAAAGATAAAATAAGCTCCAAATAAATGCAATAAAACACATATTCAGATTGATAGGGTTTAGAAAGCCCACAGAACTCTGAATGCAGGTTCTGTTACCCTGTGTTGGTTCTGAACTGTGAGGTATTAATCTACTGCCATGAATTCAGTGGCTAATAAAACTTCAATACTTCTCAATGCTTTAACAATGAGCAAAGGATAAAAGGATACATCACAGCTGTATCACAGCATAATCTCAGTACTAGCAAAATTATTTACTCATTTTATGTACAAAAAGGATTAGATCCTTTAAGAGATTATATTTTGTGTTGTAAAAACTGTGAAGTTACCCATACCATTCTTCTACTGGCAAATACTTCAGCACTAATACTGTATCTTGTTTCCTCTAAAACCAATATAAATTTTGCCACTAGGTGCAAAAAGCCTCAATTTTTAAACATAACAGGGAGCAGTAAAAAGTCAAGCAATTATCTCTGGTCAAGCACTGAATGAAGGAATCATTTACTACATGTATACTATAGCATTGCTGCATTGACCAGGGAAAGAAGTAAAATTTGACATGCTTCCTCGGGCAGCTTTATGCATCCTGGACAGAAGTGGGTGTGCATGAACAGCATTTATATGCATGATAAGTCCTCTGGGTGGTTCAGCTTTAATGAACTTCTGCATACCATCCATGTTGTGCTTAGAGTAAGTCTGATGCTAACTGAGGGCATATACTGCACTAGGTGTGCATACACTACGGCCATGGTGATCTGATCAGCAACTGGTTGGAGATAAAACTGCCATCTTTGAGAAAGGCCTGCAACAATACAGGAAATCCTTGAAGTTTGTCAAGAAAATCCTGGAATACAGTTCCTGGAGGAAAGAAGAGTATAGCAGATATGCAAAAACCTTACTAGTGTTCAAATCGTGGGGATGAAGTACAGTGCAGATGTTAGCCAGAACACTGTCATGGAGAAAATTACTCTTTGCCACATAAATCTTACCAAAAGCATCTTCCACCTGCTTCTCCTGCTGATCTTTGAGCACATATTCTGCTAATCCAGCTAGCAAGAAGGGGGGAAAGAGAAAAAAAAAAAAAAAGAGAGAAGAAACATAGTAAGGACAGAGTAATTTCACAGTGAAACTCCTGTAAGCTTACCCTCCTTAACAGAATTCTGCAGAGGTAAATTAAATTTTCTTGTAAATTGTTGTTCAGGAAATTAAGAAAACGAAAAAGGAGAAGTTGAGACAGGAAGTATTAAGCAGAAGATGCCATTAATAGAGAGATTTTCCCCCAACAACCACAAGCTACTGTTAATCTGTTTCCCCACAAAGCGCAGGTTTAGGTACCCTGGCTAGATCTGCCACGCATGAGGGACAGAACACTTGAGTATATGCCAGTGCTTTAGACTGAAAATACAATTCGTAAGAAATAGCTATAGCAAGTGACTGGAAATAATGATTTAAAAAAAAAAAATTGCTTTTCATACCTATTCTAGCATAAGCTTCTTTGGTGGAACAGAGATCCAATTCATCCTCATTTTCACTGTTTTCCATTGGATACAGGAAATCTATATTGAACTGATCATAGTCGTTGGCATCAACTTCAGAATCTAGAATTAAAAAGGAGAGCACATTGGTTCAATGAATACCATCACAAAGCAGTAAAAAACAAGACAGCAGGACATGCAGAAAAGGCAGATTTGTTATGTCAGCACAAGGCTTTGGCTTTTCACTGTGTGTTGGTTAAGCAGGAACAGAACTGAACTCTCAGTAAGATACAGTCACCCAGAAATCAACACGTTTGCTCAGCTCTGAGACTTCATCTTTCCTAGAAAATAAACCAGTTATAGAATCCATTCTATGCCACTAAGGCCTACACACATGGCCCAGACTCATCAATACTATTAAACCTTCTTATTCTTCAGGATATGGTGGTACCATCCAAGACTCCCTATTTGGAACGATGCCGGGTGCATGCTAACCCCCGAGCTACAGCTACAAATTGCCTGTAAAGCTGCTAGTTGGCCAAGGCCAAAAACATACCAGGGACCATGCTAACATCTTCATAGCAGAGATATCCAACTTCCAATAACTGATGCCATGTCCTGGCAATGTTCACTTTATTTACATCATCTCAGACATTGTTAAGGCTTAGAAGTATTCAAAACAGTGAAACATCTCTGATATAACAAAAGCCAGTCCTTGATCCCCAACTCATCCTACTTTCACTGAGCAAGTAAGACCATGGGAGTGAAGAAACACTCTTGCAGGTTTTATTAACAGTTGAAGTTGAGAGAACAAAGCTCAAGCTGGGAAATAATTAAATCACAAAGATTATTCCAGATTCTGGTGCTCAGTTCTCCACTGATTTGCCCATGTACCTGCTGACCCTGGTTTCTCATTAAAGCAAGGATGCGAGGTGGTATCCCCCAATTTGGTAATGTCTTACACCTATCAGGCAGAGCTACAGGTCTTCATATCTGGCATGCAGCTGTTGTGCTCCTTTCATTGCCAATCTCAATGCACAGACCAGCTCATTCATTTAAAATAAGCTCATCTATTGCTCTACAGCACAGTTAGCAGCACATACTCACTTTCATACTTTCATGCCAGCAAACTCAGGGGGAGCAGAGCATTCCACAGCCTCCACACAAATTCAAGAGCAGAAAGTTTGAGAAGTGACGAAACTATCATCTTTATGCCCTGGCCCTTCTGCTTTCTCCTTTAGCACGGAATCATAAAATCATTGGCCTGTGCCCTCAAAAGCTGTAAAATGGCAACTGGTAATGAAAGTTGATGCCTTAGGATCTCAGAAGGAAATAAAATGCTAGTTTGCTTGCAGACTGGCTTCATCACAAACTCACCTAAAAGTCTCTGTTTTGCAAATCTTTTAGCTTGAAACTACAAAAGTGCGGACAATTACATTTGACCAGCTTACAATAGGAACATTTGCAAATAAACTACTTACAGGAACGATACCCAAACCAAATACATTACTTTCACACCTCAATGAGTGACATGTATAGTACGTATTCTTAGACTCACTGAGCAGGAAGCTGTAAACATGTAGTTTCAAAAACATGATAGTTTCTGGAAGCAGTCACTATTTTATATACATTTATGAATAAAGTTATCATATCATAAGACCATGCGTCTGTTGTGTTTATTCCAGCCACCATGATAAACTGCCATTCAATGGCTATGTAATTGAGAGGAGATGGTAATAACTTATAGCATGATGACTAAACTAATCAAGCATTTTTTAGTGTTTTACTAACCTGCAGCAAAGTCACCTTCTTCATTTCCAGATAACTTAAGATCAAGTTGAGTATACAGATGCAATGGATCGATATCACTGTGCAGCAAATCAAGATAGCCATTTTCAGACAGAAATGTCGAATCCATGATTTGTCTCCTGATGTCTGAAACCAAATTGAAAAACAGTTAGCAGTGACAAAACCACATTTTTTTGTCAACCAAAACTACAAGTCCTGCACTGTGGCCTTCTGTTGACTAGCCACTGAGATCTTCAGGCTGTGGAACTGGTATTGTTTTACCAAGTCTTGCTTGAGTTACGATTCTGCGTAATTTAAACTTACAGATCCAGATACCCTTGCAATGAGACTTACCTATTTTTCAGTCCAGTCAGGGGGTGGGATACTGCAGTCTGACCACCCGGACCAAAAGTGCCAAGTACCGAATAAGTCACAAGTCCTGTATCTTTATCAGGATATAAATGACGCAAGCACAAACCCAGCAGGTATCAGGGAAAATGAGAAGACTGCAGTGAAGATGATGGAAGAGGAATCCCATTCCTTACCATCAGGACAGTTTCTTCTAAGGGAAGCAGCTTCAGTCTGGGATGTTACACCCAGTTCCTAAGCCCTGGAGGTGACACTAGGAGACATCCCTTCAATACAAGAAGGTACAGTGAAAGGTAGAACTGTTTTGTATAATTCTTTCCCAAACCATATAGTTGATTGTGTACAGAATAGCATGGTCCCCGTGGGAATTAGTTTCTGGTAACATGCCACTCACTGACAATTTGGAATCTACCACAATTATTTCATAATCAATTTTCTTTTCCCCTCAGAACTCATACCTACTTGTGAGTTGGGAATTGCTACAGCCTTTCAAGCAGAGTGCCATACAGCATCCAGATAAATCTGACTGATCTAAGTCACTTCCTGCTCCAGTCACCTGTGTTTACATGAGAACTGCTTCGACTGCTGCAGCTACATTTCTTGATAAAGGTTATCTCTTCCTCCACCTCATTTTAAATCTCTTTCTTTCCAGCTACTAGAATAAGCTTCCAGGCACTACAATAAGATCAAACATTTCTTCTGGATATTCCACAGCCAGTGAAAAAACACTACTTGTCGGTCATTCATCATCTTTATCAAACTATTTCAAAACCAAATATTGGCTCCTCAGTGTTTACAGGTCACTAATATGAATGCCAGCTGGGCTGGTGAGCCAAGAAATTTAGTCCACAATAATATCTAAATGCCAGCATGAAATGAACAACCCGCAAAATTTCCAGGCCATATTCTGTTAAGAAAAAGTGCCCACACACCACAACCATGAGAAGTTTCAGCTTGGCATCAAACACCATAATTTGTAATGAATGACAACTATAATACAGCTCAAATATTCTGCCTTTAGCAGAATGCCATCAATAACCCTGGTTGCACATGCCTACTTCCTCAAGGTGTATAAATGTGGAGCAACCTGTTGTACCATGAAGCCTACCTGCAAAATGATAAAAGAGAAATACAGCTAACACTGCAGCTCTGATGAAAGAGGGCAGAGCAGACCTAGTCACGCACACCACTACATGCTGCTTTGTTATAGACGAATCTTCATCCCTCTTATTCCTCTATGGGGTTGTTCTGCTGAACAGCTTGAAAATGGACCTCTCCATGTTCCAGTGCAGAAGACATCAGAATCTAGAAGCTTAACTTAGAAGAGGATGGACACAATGAAATTGCACAAGTAGGAATAACCTATGCTCAGGTAGTTCTCCTTTCTCATATTCAGTGGCCTCCTTATGCTACCAAAATTACAAAAATATTATATTAACTGCCTGCTGTGTTGTAAATGGAAAGCAAAAGTTGCCAAATCTGCATAAGAACCAAGAATGAGGTTATAAACATACCAGATTAAATTTTCAGTTTGTTGCAACATTTTGCTTTGCCTTTCCCCTTGTTAAATGCACATAAAATCCTTTCAGAATGCCAGGTTGCCAGAGTTTGTGAATAATGCTGTTGAAGCACTGCCTCAGAGTCAGTATAATTTTGGGGTTAGAGACATAGAAGTAACTGGGCAGAAGCTGTAAAGGGAACACAAAACAGACAAATACATCATTCCAGTGGTAGTCAACTGCTTGATTACAGCAGACAAAGAAAAGGCCAAGTCCTATGGAAAGAGACTAAATAGGCAAACTTAATCTTCATGTAAATCCTAAGCTTTAATTAAGCCATAGTCATAATGTTGTCCCCAAAATCAGGGTTATATTTCTGGTGCGCAGAGAGCCAATTAGCACCCAGAGTTGTACTGTTTGTTTATTCCATGTCTATGCAAAGGTGGGTGCTAGGTGGTAACTCCACAAAGCCAGCACACCCTCAGGCTGCAAGCTACCTATTTCTATACATTTCAAACTGAGAATCAGGGTTTTCTCTATACATAGCATTATATATCTATAATATGTATCTTGGCTCTCACATTCTCTGTGTTTAAAGACACAGTACATATTTATTTCACTATGCACATCCAGTGAGTAAGGGTCTCTGTGGGGAGGGTCTCTTATCTCAGGGGCTGTGATTTTTAGTATTATAATGAACCAAATTCCTTTAGGAACACAGTTATCTTCTGTTTCGCTAAGCCTTTCAAAATTACTCCTGCCTTCCTAATCTGTCTGAAGTTAGCTGTTACTCTTCTGATCTAGCTGGTTCGTTTATCAGCCTTCTCCCTCTCCTCAAGGTCTGTCAGCTTGTAAGAAAACACTGTTTTTCCTCACTACCTGCAATTGCAAAACCAAGATTTCCAAGCTTCCACACACATAGTTCTTAAAAAAAAAAAAAAATCTTAACTTCTTCATTGCCAGATAACAATAAGAGCTTTTGTTAATTTAAACCTTTCTGTCAATAGCATTTCCCTGTGGATAAATACATATATTATGCAAAATGTTTTCAGCCACAGAGGTTGAGAAGTCAGGAAGAAACCAAAAGGAAGTCTTGCAGTGCCAAGTCTAGCTAGAGAGCTGATAATTAGAATGTAAAAAGTGTTAATAGCACAGGAACAGAGGACTAAGAGAAACATAGCCTTCTACCTTAAGAATGAAGATTGCCATTCTTTCAAGAATGAAAAACATTTGTATTCATCTGTTTTGTTTCACCAGTCTGAATGACCCTCAGCTTACCCTCTTTTTTTTCTTTTCATTATTTTGGTTTGACACAGATCTATACCTAGCTGTCTTCCTACTGACTGCACTGGATTTCGGATGCTGCAATTTCTTTCTGTAGCTGAACCAACAAATTCCTAAAAGCAGGTGTGCTGTGTGCTTTGCTGCATTAAAATCATGATGTCACCATGGAAAGCACTGTGTCCAAGGGTGTAGGAAAAATGAACTGAGTTTTTGAAAGGGGAAAGCTTCTGCACTGAGAAAGCCAGAGGCAAGGAGAATGATACCTCATGGACAGTAAGTGTTTTGCTGCATGTTGTAACTGAAGCACACAAAATGAAACCAGACATAATTGAGGTTGTTTACCACAGCAGCCTCTTTCCCAGGGCTTCCCTTTTTTTCTCACAGCATTTCCCAGCAGTTCCCTGTCTGAAACCAAATTTGAGTAAGCTCTATGCTACCTAGCGCTCTCTCTGTTGTTTCATGAAGGATTTTGACTTAGTTAACTGATAATACATTCCCTCTGGAGTCCCTTACAGTGCTGCCAAAATGGGTGTTTGGCACATTTTCACTTCATCAGAAGACTACAATATTTCTGTAGTAATTTCTGCGTAAGGGCTGTAAAGGCGAGAGCCAGCTCGCATCTGGAGGAAGACAGGCCCTACACAGACCTACAAGATAAAGCCTTGAAGTGCCCAGGGTGGCTGTGCCCACCTTTGTGGCAGGCCTCCATGCACAAAGTGTAGATGATGGGTGGGGGAATGCAGGGGGTACTTCCAAAGGTATTTCCATGCACATATTTTCCTTTATTGTTTGGACACTGGTTAAGAGTTTGCTTTAAATCTTCAAACAAAACCTCCTTTCTCCTGCATTTGGTAGCCTGTGTTCTTAAACCTCTGCAATGATTTAGTGCCTACATGCTACAGCAAGGTCTCCACTCATGATACATTTGGTTTACCGCTGTATTCTGCATATACACCACAACAATATGATTCACTTCCAAGATTCTCCATGTTTTTTTCAGTGCTCTTTTAGAGTCCAAGAGATACCATACGAATTAAAATTGCTGGAAAATTAGTAAAAGAAATAGCGAACATCACCATATCAGGACAGATAGTCCAGTTAAAGAAGGAGTAGGTTTTCACTTAAATCACATACAAGTCTTAGGAGTTAGGTAGGGCAGTTTAGATTTCTAAAGATAAGGAAGGTGGTAGCAATTTCTCTTTTTGCCCCAATGATTTGATTTAACCATGTCTTATATTTTAAAGGATCAACATGTTAAAGATTCCTGACAATGGGGTCTGCTACTTACTAAATGTTCTCTAAGAGAACAAAGACGGTTTATATAAACAATAACATAACATGTACTCCAAAAGTAAGGTGGATGCTTCTGAGATTTGTTAGGGGGTTTCCTTCCCAAAACCCTGTTGACATCTGAACTGACAGGTAATAAAATAATCTCCCACGTGAGTATAGAGGTTAAGAAAACTAAAACATCTCAAGTCAGTTCAGGAACAGAGGAAATCCCCTCCTCCCCCCATAACTTAATTTTTGTATCAATTTAGGAAGCTGAGGATAATTCATAGAAAACAGTAGCAGTGCCACGCAAATCACGTTTCTTAAGCAGAGGATGACATAACATTACAGCTCCAAGTCTTACATTAAAGAAAAATAAGACAGTGGGACTGCAGTGAAAACAAGAGGTCAAAAAGTTAAACACAAAGATTGCTGAATGTTACTTTCTTGCAGCACTCCAGACTAAGTGCTACACATGAATGTGAAGGAAGCAAGTTGAGGAGAAGCAGGTATTACCAAACTCTAAAGAAGGAATCCAGTGAAACACTGGCACTTTGAGCTAAAAGTTCAATGACATCAGCTACCAGCTACAGTTTGAAAGCCTTTTTGAATTTTTGTTAACAACTTTAGAAAGTCTTCTCTCTTCTTTTGGGCCCCCCAAGAGTTATGTCATTGCGCACAACACGCACACCGGAAGGCAGGGAGGTGTTTCCTGCTTTTGCT